ATATTGAACAAACACTTCTCTGAAATTCCTGGTAAACTACTAAAAACAAGAAATCCAAACACTACACCTCTATAACCATCACCTTTCTTTAAAAGCCCGCTTTCTACCATGTACATCACAGAAACAACAGGAAAGGAAATACTTCAAATTATAAACAAAATGCTAAATAAACAATCTGCTGGGATAGGCAACATTCCAGACTACTAAATGAAAGAGATTGCTCCATATATCATCAAACCCTTAACATATTTATGCAATCAATCACTAACTCATGACTCCATCCGAAACATATTTAAAACTGCTGTAATTAAACCTATACATAAAAAAGGTAACAAACAAGATGTAATTAATTCTAGGCCAATTTCACTCTTGTCAGGTTTTTCAAAAATATTAGAAAACTGTTCTATGAAAGATTAAAATACTACTTGATACACTGTAACATTATCACTGACTCACAACATGGATTCAGGGAAAATAGTTCAACTGAAACTGCTCTATTCACCTTTGTAAATGAAATCCTCCTGGCCTTGTATTTTTATTTATGAAGTTATCATATTTGTAAAGAAAAATCTAATAAACAATGACACACTTAACAAATTTAACTCAAGCTTACACCCCTATAACACAAGGCAAGCATGTAAACTTCATCAACCAATGTGTACAAGCACAATATACTACAAGAGTATGTTCTCTTCAGGTACATAATTCTTCAACAAATTTCTGATACATCTGAGAAACACGACAGGCTTGTACAACTTCAAGAAGAAACTCAAACACTTCCTTGGGGAAACACTTTTTTGTAGCATCCAGAAATACCTCAATGACTAACACATGCAATGTGATTTCAGGTGCTGCAAGTAGAACTAAATGTATAAATAGGAAAAAATCTGGCCATAACCTGCCTCCTCCTTCCCATTTCAAGATTTATTCAAGGAATATGCTAATACTGTTAAATCATTTGTAGCTGTTACCATAATTGTTATCATGTACTGTTATAAAATAATAATAATAATAATAATAATAATAATAATAATAATAATAATAATATTAATACTATGTAATGTTATCTATTATATTTATTATAGTAGTAGCAGTAAAATCACTAAACCAAGAAAATGATATTTTGAAAAATGAAACGGTATAAATCTTGAAATGTTAAAATATTTCAAAATAAAATTAAAGTAAGTCAAATGTTCAACTATTTTATACTAGAAATAATTATCTACTATGTAATATCTTAATATAACTGTAACAAGTATTGTAGTATAATCTCTAGTTCAAAGACCCCATCTTGATCGCGTTTTTTGTCCAGTTTCCCTGGTCCTTTGAGCAAATGCTGAGATGGCTCCTCATTTTGCTTCTGAACAATAAAAATAAATGTAACTTCATTCACTGCTCCCAAGATGTATGTGATTGTACTCCCTCTAAATATATCATATTTGGCTTGCCATACACGATTGTTATTGTGATGTATATGTGACTGAATAAATATTATTATTATTGTTATTATTATTATTATTATTATTATTATTATTATTATTAAGTCGATTTTCCGCAGCATTATATTTCCCTATACTACTTCTACTAGTTTCATCTTCACAATGGCGAACAACATTTAGCAGAGATGATTTAGATCCTGAGAAATTTGTGTCTCACCTTTCAATTTACAACATAAAAAATTGTGTTTAAAGAAAATATTCACACCTTAGGCTCCCTTGCACATAGCATGTCTCATGATTTTTGATGGTGCAGATTTGCTAAGAGCCACTGCTGATTTTACACAACTGTTACAAACAATTTAAGAAAATTTGTTGCGTTGTAACAAACTAGTTTAAATTAAGTTTGACATGGGAACAAATTTTTGTAAAGGATGTAGTTTTGGATATTAAGCCAGAGTGCTAAAGAGGTGTGTATGTGGTTGGGCAAGAAGATACCTCAAAATGTAATATTTCATACTCTTCATTTGCTTTATATACACCAGAATATATTTTTATAAGTTGTTTTTTGTTTGCTTTTTAGAAAATATTTTTGGAAACAAAAATTTTGATCAACATAATGGAAATGAATGAAGGAGATATCCTGAATGCTTGTACACCACGAACCTGGGAACCTATGACTAGTGAAATGAAGCTCTTTCATTTGTCAGAGACATCAAAAGAATTCAAGAATGTTGTCAGGAAAGTAAATAGAACTCTTAATGTGCCTGTGAAATCAGTTCTTAGAATTCAAAATCCATACCTGTGGGGCTGTTACCAACTTAAGAAGTTGGAGTACATTACCAATGAAGTCCCTGTGAGAGAAATGGAACTGTTTCATTGTACCGCTCAGACAAACATACCTTCTATCGCTACTAATAATCTTAATTGGCGAAAATGTGTTCGCTCCAGATTTGGTGAAGGAATAAGTTTTTCTCCATCTGCTGCTTATGCTAATTATTATGCAAATCAAGAGATTGGCATGGACAGAGCTTTGATCTTGACAACTGTTTTGGTGGGAAGAGAAATTCTTGGAAAAAACACAATGTCTCATCCACCAAAATTATTTGATACGAGTTTTGGTAGAAAATATGGTGAAACAATGGTGTATGTGAAATATTGTGATTATGAATTTTACCCATCATATGTTGCATATTACACTAATAAAAGCGGATCTGAACTGATCAGATACAGAACTGATCCTTATCATCAGTATGCATGGTATCCTCGTGCTTATAATAATTATTTGTTTTGGGCTGATAACTTTGATTATTATGACTTTGGATTGTGAAAGTACTTATAGTTAATATGGTACATTAAGTTTGCTAATGATAAGCAATGAAATGATATCTTGTGTCTATTTGAAATTGAAGTCAGGAATAATTAATAGAAAATAGATTTCATGAATGTTGTTGTTGTTGTTGTTGTTGTTGTTGTTGTTGTTGTTGTTGTTTTTTTTTGATGTTACAATAATTAAATTTAATAATATTCTCTATTTCATTTGATACCTGAAAGAGTATGTAATATGGTAAATAAAATGTGAATCTTGATGTGCTATTCATTCCATTATTAAGTGGTGATGGGAAAATTGGTGATAATTAATCTAATTATAAATATTTTTGTTTCGCTCTTGTTGGTAATCTGTGTAAAATAATAGTTTTTAATCTAGCTTCCTTTTAAAATTCTGATGTTTAGCCTATATTATTATTTTGTGAGAAAGGGAATAATCATCCTCAATCAATCAAAGTTATATCGTTTATTATTATAAATTCCTAAATCCGATCCGGTGGCCGAGATCGTTAAGGCCAGTAGTGCGTAGCGATCTGGACCCGAGGTCGCGGGTTCGAATCCAGCTCGGGCATGGTTGTGTTGTGTTTCGTCCTTTCACCCCCTATTCATAACATCATCTCCATCTTCATTATCACCCTTTCTGAGTAACATTAGAATTGTAAACTCAAGGATTTATCCTCACCTCAAAGGTGGACAAAACACCTTCGACAGTCGACCATGACTAGTGAAGTGGAACGACTCCAAGTGGTCCAATGTGGGCCAATCAAGTAAAAAAAAACATTCCCAAGTCAATTTTCCAGAAAAACATTTTTTCCTTCTTCATGGTCTTTCTTAAGCAAGGAAAAGGAAAATTGAAAAATTAACTTGAAGGGAACAAAAAGAAATACATTAAAATCATGCAATAAAATAAACAAATAAATGGAAGTGAAATAAATAATTTATAAATAATAAATAAAATTAAGAATACATTATTTACATTACATACATTACAAAAAAATATTTATTTATTATTTATTTCATTTTATTTGTTAATTTTGTCACTTTTACAGTATTACTTTTTGCTCCCATTTGCTTTTCATTTTAATTTTCTTTCTTACATTATGGATTACCACAAGATATCTGCTACCATCATGGAATTTATCATTTTTTTAAAAATTAAACTGCTTTATTACCACAATGGCATTTGATCTGGCACACATTTAAATATTATGTTTTTAGCAGTTTTGTGATGGTACCATGTTTTTCTCCGTGTATAATGATTTGGTAATCTTTTGGATTTTGTTGTCGTATTTAATGGTTGAGGAGCTATTAAATGAATCTGTAATTTATAATGAATTAATAAATAATTTTTAAACGCTTTCGCTATTTTACTGCTATATCATAAATATGTGACCAATTTTTACCCATACATAAAACTTGTTATTATATGTAACTTCACTTCCGGATTATTTAAAAAAAAATGCGCGAGAATTTTTCACTTGCCTACAGGTGACGAAATTGTTAATCCGCCTATGGGAACGTGATTCTCCTAAGTGTGAAACTCCACAGAATCGCAGAAAACAACACTACTCTCTATCGGACATTATGCCCATTCCAAAGAAAGGATTAAATAGAAAACAAACGCGGTCCACCATATTGTCATCGTCACCTCACAAGCCTGCACTTGACATGGAGAATAAGCTTGTCTGTAATGAACGGATTTTCGATTAAATACATATTTTCATAGAAACAAGGAACCTGCTTTCAATTTGTATCCTAGAGTAACACACATGAATCATTCCTCTTGCACGTTTAGGACCAACATTTACTGTTTTGTTTGCTGGTCTTTAATGAACCGTGTCGAAGTAAGTTGATATGTCATTAACAAACAGAAAAAAAACATCAATACTCAAGAAAGCAAATCCACACTAATTATGCACATTCACAAAGGCTCTGGGCGTGGAATTGAAACATTTTTATAAAGTGAGATCATTATGCTAGCTATTTGTACTAGTTAGAAACAGCATGTACCTGTCAATAGGATGCATATATCTTAGAAAATGGAGCCTGGCATATTCTCACCCCCATTTGACGGTATATACAATTTGCTTAACTATTATTTTGCAGACACACACTTATTTTATGACATTTTGTGAATCCGTTTTGTGAATCTTTTCTTGCGGTGCGGGACTTCCCGTGGATAAGGGCTCATTAGCAACGGATCATTTCGCTCGAAGAATGCTCGTTGTGTGTATTTTGCAAATGTACATTCCCGCCTGAGATATGGTATATGACATCATAATTCTGAGGAAACTCTTAATTTAATACTCAGACCTTTAGATTGCAAAATAAAGTTATTCGAATAATGAAAAAATGCCATCCGCGTGATCCTTGCAAGCTTCTCTTCATTGAGCTTGAAATCTTATTACTGCCTTGCCTATATATTTACGAATCTGTAATATATGTCAAAAGTGACTTACTTAACGGTGCGAACATATTTTCATGCCATACAGTTATTTATAATTACAACAAGTCGTAAAAATCACGTTTATCAAGTGTCAGTATCAACAACTCACTATCAGAAATCCACATACATGTTCGTTACTTTACAACGCATTTCCAAATAACTTTAAAAAATTGAAGTCGGTTCACAAATTTAAGTTAAAAGTAAAATCTTTTCTGCTGCGTAACTGTTTCTATACAATTAGAGAGTATACTGATTATAAAAAAGAAAAGTAATGTTTATTTTAGCAAAACAGTGATGTATAATGAATTAGTTTACATTTGTATTGTATAAAATTTTTAAAAAGGCTTAATATGTTTGTAACTAATAATGTACTTCAGCTTCCGGGTCAATGACCCCCATCTCGATTAGGTTTTTGTTCAGTTTCCCTGATCCATTGAGCAAATGCTGAGACGTAAATGTAGCTTCGCTAACGCACGTTTTGTTGAAATCGTAGGAGTAGAGGTAAGGGCGAGTTACTACTTTGTTAGAAATGTAGAAAAATCATACTTTCAATTCGTATACCGATGGAAATACGTTTTCTATAACTCGAGAACGAAAATGCCTATTTTTTTTACAAATATTGCTAATCCCGTGCTTTTTAAAAATTTGTTCTTATTTATTTCTTTTAAACTTTTCAAGAAAACGTGCGCAGATAATCTTCTCCCCCATACGTCACATACAGTTTTTACTGTTTTTATTTTTGACTAAATAAATCCAAATCTAAAGATAAAGATGAGTTATTCTAAGAAGAGGGCAGTTTAACTGGCGGGAAACAAATGAACGACTCTTAGGACCATGGCATTGCAAGAGATAGTGATGAAGCTATGTACAAGTGTGCTAATGTATTGATGAATTCAGTAAATGGGCATAACTTACAGTTATGTTGCTACCAAGAGCCATGCAGTAGCGGTCAAAGCAGCTTATGGAAATCTTAGAGAAATTTTTCTATAAATCCGTCCGAGGGTGAAGGATTACCGGCGCACGGAGAACGGGGCATCAGTGTTGCCAGGTGGGCTTAAGCATTTTTCATTTGACAGCGCTGCGAAAACCAACCAAATGTAAAATAACAAGAAAAAACAAACACCAAATATAAAAATTATTATTCCTGTTTAAAATATCTGGGGAGGATATTGAAAATATAGAAATATGAAGAAGATTATTAATGGTATATGATGTTATTTATATTTTAAAGTAAACATCTAAATTGAAATACATAAAATATGTATAAAAACTATTTATACAATAATATGCATATATACGCTCATTGTATAAGTTTAGTTTTAAGGAGTTACACAGTGTTCGAGAGATGAAACGTAATTGGATCTTCGTCTCACTCATTGTAGTGATTAAAAAAGAGTTAATGTCTTTCTAAAAACTTCACTTCAACCAAAACCGTTTGCATTACCAGTTTATTGCTGTGATTCGTTTCTTTTCATCAAATGTGTGGCGCTCTTCTACCAATCTTTGACAACTTCCCACCCAATTTTAAACGAGGGAGTTCATTCAAATGATTTTACTCTCCTATAAGTATTTTTACTATTCTTAGATATACTTCAATAAATATATCTGCAATAATCGTAAGTAACTTCTTTTGGATTCTGTGATTTTGTAATATAGTGAGCAATAGCTATTAAAAAAATTGAAATGTGAAAATTGAAACTAGACGAAAATCCCCAACAACACCCCCCCCCCAAATAAATTTGCCTCCTATTATCCGAAGAATATTTGACTGCTTGACAGCTAGCGGCTGACAGGGGAGAAAAGGTTGTGTTATCCAATCACAAGCTTCAAATTCAGATGATGTCACTGCACAGTTTCTAATGCTTATTACGAAAAAAAACCCACATCAAGCGCGAAGTAACAGAAAATTGAAAAACGCCCACGAACGAACACGTGTCTGCTGCCCGAGTAAGTTGCAACATCACTCTACCCCACCCCAGCTTTCCAGTAGACATTATTTGGAGGATAAAACATCTACTAAAGATAAAAAACTTGTGGTGCTAAAACAGCACGTACTTTTTCCTTCGCATTTTCACACAATTACGCGAGTAGTCAAATTTGTACATGGACTTTTTTCAAAATGTATCTTTAAAGAAGAGATTTCATTAAGGGCAAAAGTATCTATAATATTTTAGTTGTAAGAAGACTTCGAAAATACTTTTACTTTTTAAGTTACAATTTTCGAAAAATCAGCGTTATTAACGAAAATGTTAAACCTATAAATGGATCTCACTTAATTCGATATTCAGTGAAAGGATCTACAGAATACTCATGGTTGCAAAAAAAAAAAAAAATTGCTAGTGGGAACAGGGTTTGCAGTAGGTTACGATTAACAGAAATGGAAAAACACTCTTTCTCTCTTTCTTCTTTCTCTCTCTCTCTCTTTCTTTCTCTCTCTCTCTTTCTTTCTTCCTCTTCTCCTCCTTTCTTTTCTTCCCTCCTCTCTCTTTCTTTCTCTCTCTCTCTCTCTTTCTTTCTCTCTCTCCTCTTCTTTCTTTCTTCCTCTCTCTCTTTCCTTTCTCTCTCTCTCTTCTTTCTCTCTCTCTTTCTTCTTTCTCTCTCTCTTTCTTTTCTCTCTCTCTCTTTCTTCTCTCTCTCTCTCTTTCTTCTCTCTCTCTCTTTCTTTTCTCTCTCTCTTTCTTTCTCTCTCTCTTTCTTTCTCTCTCTCTCTTTCTTCTCTCTCT